GTCCGCCTCCCTGGTGGGGGGGTGTCCTTTTTGTTGAGGGAGGGGGGCGGGGGGGCGGCGGGAAAGAATAATTATTATATATATAAAAAGAAAAAAAAAGGCAAAAAAAAAAAAAAAAAACAAAGCAAAAGTGACAATTGTATTCTTTTTAGGACGAGCACGATTTCTCCTTTGCGCTTTTCCATGGACGCATTTCACCCACTTGCATGATGATTATTAAATTTGTATCTGGGAAAAAAAAAAAATCTCTATAGTAAAGGAAAACAGAATCAACAAACAGACAAAGGCAAACTGCGATCGAATTTGTACAAAAAGCAAAAAAAAAAAAAAAAAAAAAAATTACAAAGGAACTCCTTGAAGAGGGAAATAACAAATGTTTATCACCTTTCTGTTGGTCCTCTGTCTCTCTTTCTCTCTCCCCCTCCCGTTCTCTGTTTATTTTTTTTGTTCTTTTGGTTAAGTCCCGGCGAGGGCCCCGCCGAGCGGCACTGTTCTGTTTTTCGTTCCGCAGACAATCATTTTCTTCGTAAGCACCTTTTTTTCTACACTTCTGTCACTGCCTGTGTGGGTACTGGTTATAAATGTGGAAAAAAGAATAGTTATGACTGTAACAGATTTTTATTTTTATTTCAAAATTTTATATGAATTATGTATATCTTAATGATGCGGTCATTTTCCCAGTTTGTAATATATGTGTAGAAATGCTTGTATATGAGATTTGCTCCGCTCTTTCTTTCTCCCTTCCCCCCTCCCCCCTCTTCCCCGTCTCTCTCCTCCCACTCTTTCTCTCTCCCTTTTTATTTTCCTTGACTCGGTGTTCCTTGCACGAACTTAGCTGTCAGCTTCTGACGGGCTAGGTTTTCTAAAGGGACCTCAGCGATAGAAAATAAATAAATAAATAAATAAATAAGAAAGGAAAAAAAAAAAAAAAAAAAGGAAAAAAAAGAAAAAAAAAAAAGCAGCTTAGGGTGCAACTGTAGTTATCTTATGCAAAAGCTATTTTGAGTATTTCATAGCAGCTTTGGGGGGTCTCTTCTTAAACTCCACGTAGGACGCTTAAACTATCGTTTCCTTAACTGCGTGTTTATCTATATGTACAAACTTTCTAAATCAAATACAGTATTCCATTTTCTTATCTACCAGCGCTGTCGGTGTTTCTGTCAGCACGGGGAACGGCTCTCCCGGCCCGGTCCGTTCCTCGAGCGCTGCGGGCAGGGAGCGGCGGCGCGGCGATGTCCCCGCGGCTCCTTCGAGCGCCGATGCCGCCGTGCTTTCGGGTGCGGCCGGGTGGCTGCAGGGCCGCTGTCCCCCGAGAGCGGTTCGGCCATCGCGGGTTTGTTTTGTAGCTTTAAATGCAAACAAAAACATAAACTCCTGGCCCCGAGCGGGCTGCAGCTCCTCCCCTCGAACCCGGAGTATATTGTACTGTGTTGAAAGAAGCCTTTATTTGCATGGGTAACAGTATTTCAGCATCTCTCTTTTTTTTTTTTTTTTTTTCCCTCCCCATTTTTTTTTTTTTTTTTTTAAATTTTCCTTCTATTTTCTTTCTTGTTTCCCCTTTCTTTCTCTTTCATCTTTTTCCTCCTCTTCCTTCCTTCCTTCTTTTTTTCTTTCATTTCTTTCTTTCTTTTTTTCTTTCTTTCTTTCTTTCTTTCTTTCTTTCTTTTTTTTTTTTTTTTTTTTTTTTTTTCCCCACTAAACTTTTGCTTTGCCCTGGGCAGATTTTTCCACCGTGAATTAAGGAGAGGTAAATTCTAAACCTGTTTTTACTTGAAAACACAATTTTGAAACTTCCCGGGGATTTAGGGAGAAACGTGCCCGGAATTTCTTGACCGTTTCCAAACTAATTCGTACTTCCGATGCACTTTTGTGCTGCCCTAGCCCTTTTCCCTTTCTCCCTCCGCCTCTTTCGGGGCAGCTCAAGGCAGGGTTATCGAAAACCGCAGGGCTTCTCCACGTATCCCCCCGCCCTAAGAAGCGACCGGAGGAACTGCCCTGGGTGCGAGAGCTCAAAACGAACCCCTGATGGAGGCCGCCAAGGAATAAACTGCAATGTAAATACTTCCCTCCACCTTCCGTGCCCCCGGGGAAGTGCTGCGCGTGTCTGCGCGGAGCCCTCGCAGCGAGTGCGGCGGGGCCGTGCCCTCGGAGCTCCGCGGTGGGAGGGATGTCCTCCTCCGGCTGCCCCGGCTGTTGCCTCTCCGGTGCCGCGGCCCGGCTCTGCCCTGAGGCAGTGCCTGCAACGCCAGCCCCTTCGGGGATCTCTCAGCGACGTTGTCCCACGGCCCCGGGCGGCTCTGGCAGTTCGTAAGGAAATAACGCCCGGCTGTGCAAGGCCGGGATAAACGGGAGTTGCTGCAAAAGGGGAGAACAATGGCTCTTCCGTGAGCCGCCGACGTGCGACAGGGGCCTTGGTGCCCTCCCTTTTGCAACATTTAGAGGGGAGAAAAATGTCCCGGGATAGGATGAGAGCCCCCATTGCCAACACCAGCGTTCAGGCCCGGGCTGCTCTGCTTTCCATCTGGCAGCAGACAGGCCTTAGATGGGAAAATCTCGGCTCACAGTCACCTCCAGATGCCGTTGGGAGTTCTGTCTGCACTGATGCTGTTCTTTTTTTTAACCAGAATATTTATTCTCATCACTGGTAGCAGTTCTCGTCCCGCTTTATTTTAACGGGTTTTAATATCTGAGAGGTTTCAGAGCCGTATAAGTTTGGGATGTTTTACTTCCCCTTCCCCCATTGCCACGTCTCGGAGCTATGGCGTCGAGCCTCAGCAGCAACCTCAGGACTGAGCCTTACGCTGACATTTGGGGATTTTCCTTCCTCCTGTTCAGCTCCCAAAAGCTCACCCCGTGGTGCGGGGGCACCTGGGGGAGCCCAGAGATCGCCTTCAAGCACTGCTTTGGGGCTCCAGCTTCCCTCGAAGAGCTCTAGTAGCAGGGGTCCCCCATTTCTCCCTACCCCCCTCCTCCTCAAAAAAGGGAGAAAACAAGCGACCACTGTTGCCGGACACTCAACCCACAGCTGAGTGACCGGGACTGGAGTCTGCTGGCCGTTGCATACGATGGGAACTTCTGGGGGGCCCGGACACACGTGGGGGCTACAGGGGGGCAACGAGGGCCCCGCGCGAGTCGGGATACCGGAGCGCGGCTCCGTGCAGGGCGCCGGGAGGGAGAAACGAGGTTGTTTTCGGATTTGCATTGAAAACCTGAATGGCTGATTGAGGTGTAAATCTATGGAAAGCCGCGTTTAAGCCTCCTCACCCGCTAAGTCCGTCTGCCCCGGGAAGATAGGGCCTATCGGGACACACCAAAGTGGAGGGCCGCCTCTGCCCTCCCGCCCGGCAGAGCCTTATCGACGGACGCTCTCCGGCATCACTTTATTGCCTGCTACAAGCCCGGCCCTTGATGGCTATGAAATTAACTCGGAGGCTGAAGCGCGTGGGATCGATACAGGGGCGCGGGCCCTGGGACGGGAGGCAGATGGCCGCGGCACGACGGCAGCGGGGCCGTTGGGGGCTGCGGCACTGGCCCGGGGCAGCTCCTATAGCTGGGCAGTGAGAGCTGCCCTAAGCCTGCCTGCCCGCTGCCCTTCGTGTTTAGCGTGCCCGGCTGAGGTTACTGCCCCAGCCGACGTGAAAAGAAATGCGGACGTTGATGCCCTGGTATTGCTCTGATTTCCTCGGTTAGCTGAGCACAACTTTCTATTCGTGTTTATTCATGCAGTTTCTCATTGAGCTCCACATCGCTCTGCCCTGGATTCTGCATGTGGGGAGAGGACGGACAAACGTCGCCTTTTTGCGGAGTGCACAGACACGCAGAGCCCCGAATGCATCTGTGGCCCCGAGCCGCCCTGCAGGGACACACAAAACTCTGTAACCGGTGTATAACAAAATAAAATGGGGGTATTGGGGGAAAGCGAGCAACCAGCTGCAGCATGGCCAAGAGATGGAAATGCAGCGAGGCAGAGGGGGAGAGAAAGAGTCGGGAAGGAAAAGCACCGAGGTGGCGGTGCCGCATGCTTTGCTCTGACACAGCAGTGAGAAACTGGACACTGCCCTGGGGATAGTACAGAGGCTGAATGCTGCTAAGGGGGGTCTGTGCGTCTGTCTGGGAAGGAGGGGGGGGGATGTCTGTGTGTCTATCCAGGGGGGAGACTTCTGTTCGGTTTGGTTCTCTGCGTTATTCTTTTCTATTTGAAAGAAAGGTGTTCGCAGAGCAGAGGGATCTTGGGTTGTGAGAGACAGAAGGGCGATGAATAAATGAAGGCTCCATGGAAATATCCGGAGGAGAAAACCCAGGGCTGTGTCTGGAGCAGCTCTGTATGCCTCCTCGCTGAGAAGAAAACTACGCTGGAAGTCACATTTACAGTATCTAAAGGCAGCCTGCGAATGACTTTAATCCCAGCCATAGCTAATAGAGGAGGTTTAGCTCTCCTGCAAATATTTGCTTTTTTGTCCCCATAGAAACATCATTAGGAGAAGTTCATTTAATAATAAGGTCAATTAAAGAGTATTTTTCAATGAGTGGAGGAAAAA